TCAGGGCTGGGGCTAGAGCTCAGTGGGTACAGTGTTTGCTTTGTGTGCACGAGGTACTGGGTTCAATCCCCAGTACCTTCCCCCCACCAAAAAAAAAAAAAAATCAATCTCTCTCTCTCTATCTATATTTATATTTATTTATTTATATATACCGGAATGGGAAAAAGTCTTTGCCACCTGCACCTCAGATAGAGCATTAATCTCCAGGATATATAGAGAAGTCAAAAACATAACACCAAAAAAGCTGTCTTGTTCCAGATCTTCAATTAATTAGGAACATTCTGAGATATCATGAGAACGTCCACAAACCCAAAGTGATCTACAGATTTAATGGGATCCTTATAAGAATTCCAATAACATATTTTTATGGAAAGACTAAAATATTCTAAAATTCTAGAGCCATAAAAGACTCCAAAGAGCCAAAGCAGTGTTGGGAGAAGAACAAAGATGGAAGCGTCACCTTTTCTAACTTCAAAATACATTACAAAGCTATAGTAGTCTAACCAGTATAGCATTGGCATGGAAACAGACATAAATTTTATGGTATAGCAAAGAGGGCCCAGAAATACATCCACACATTTATAGTCAACTGTTTTTCAACAAGGGTGCCAAGAATACACCATGGGGAAAAGACAGTCTCTTCAATAAGTGGTGCTGGGAAAACTGAATGTCACACACAGATGAACTGGACCCTTATCTCACACCACATGCAAACATCAGCTTGAACTTTATTATAAAGACTTAAATTATAAAGACTTAAATGTAAGACTTTCCGCTATACAGTTACTTCAAAACATAGAGACCAAGCTTCTTGACATTGGTTTGGCAATGATTTGGCGATAGGATCTCAAGAGTACAGTTAACAAAAGGAAAACAGACAAATAGGCTTATGTCAAACTAAAAAACCTCTGCACAGCAAAAGAGACTCATCACCAGAGTGAGAGACAGTCTATGGAGAAGATATTCACAAACCATAGGTCACATAAGAGGCTCAAACACAAACTTGCTGTGTGGCTCTTAGCAAGTTGCCTGATCTCTCTGTTTTCCTTTGGAAAATGGGGGTGATAATCTGCGGGTTGGTGCACAAGCTTTGGACAGTGCTTTCCACAGGGCGAGAGGCGCTGTTATCACAATTAGATGGAACCATCAGCCAATGTTCCAAGGACGTGGCAAGGATGGGGTGGGTTCCCCACGAGGGAGCTGCCTGGGAGCTGTCCTGTGGGCTGGGCCAGGGGAGCACCACAGAAGAGGTGACTTTGGCTGGGCCCAGCAGGAAGTGTCAGGGCCAGGAAGACAGATGCAGAGATGACTCCAAGGTTTCAGGCTTGAGCAGATAATTGACCAAGTCAGGGTGGGGAAGAAGTGCCCAGGGGACTTGTCTTGGGGCAGGGACTCTGAGGGCTGGTGTCATCCAAGCTGACAGGCCTGGGGGCTGAGCACATGGCCTGGCTCCAGGCCCAGGGACAAAGGCGACTGGGGCAGGTCACAAGGACATTTTCTGTCCCCTAGGCTTGCTCTAGGAGACCCTTCTCTTGGAGATGGCGCCCTGGGTGTGACTCAGGGACAGTGGGAAAGAACAGAGGCCATGGGGTGGGGAGAAGCAGGGACTGGAGCTGTGGCCCATGTCCATGACAAAGGGCAATTAGAGGAGTTCAGGGACCTGTGTGCTGCATGGAGGCAGGAAGGGTGGGTCTGGGCGCACGGGAGGGCCTGCACTGGTCACGGGGGCTTTGGGGTGCAGTTCTCCCACCTTGTTGGAGGAGCCCAAGGTTAGGCAAGACCTGGGGTGGTCCAGTGGGCCGCTAGGAATATGGGCGGGGGTGGTTCTGGGAGTTAGGTAGGCAGAGTGGGTGCTGCAGATTTGGGGCCAGACCTCTCCATGGCGCCAGGGGAAAGCCCAAGCTTCCCCAGCACAAGGGGGGCCTGCAACAGGGCCTTTGGCTATGGAAACGCCCCGAGCGGCCTCAACCTGCTCAGAGCCTGTGGTCAGGCAAGGGCATAAGCTTGGTAAAACTGACTCTAAGCCAGGGACTCCAAGGAGCTGAGAGAGGTCTCAGGTTCTCCAAAGGGATTGTCAAGATCCCTAGGACACCTCCTAATGTTCTCATTTTTTTTTTAAAGTACTGGTATTGAACCCAGGCTTTTGCAAACAGTAGGCAAGAGCTCTACCACTGAGCCTCACACCCAGCCCTTTTTACTTTGAGAAAGGGTCTTGCTCAGTTGTGAGGCTGGCCTCGAACTTGCAATCCTCCTGCTTTAGCTTTCCGAATCGCTGGAATTACAGGTGTGTGCCAATGCGCCCAGCCCTATCCTCACCTTTTCTTAAGGCCCCATTCTGGGGAAGCTGAGTCGTGGAGTGGGAGTTCAAGAACTCCAGGCAGCCCTAGCATGGTTTGGCCTTGTCCATGGTCAAGGCCCTCAGCCCACGTTCTCTTTAAGCTTAGGCATTTGCTCAGTCCCTGAGCCCCATCAGCCGGGAGGAGCCCTGCTCTCTGAGAGCTGAAGGCCCCAGAATAAGGCCTCTGGGTTCTTCCTTCCGTGCCCAGCGACTTGGCCTAGTGCTCTCTCTCCATGCTAACCCCTCTTCCCCAAACCCTTGCAGAAAAAGCAGAATGAGCCTCTATGCAGATGAGGAAAGCTCAGAGCAGGTAAACTCTCCCCCAGGATGGCACAGTTAAAAAACCGCAGAGCTAGGATTTAAACCTCCGGGTAGCCTGACTCAGGGAGCCTGCTCTACCTTGGGGCTCTGTTTTCTTCTTTTACAAAATGGTGAATGGCATGAATGATTTATTTACTCTTCAAGTTTGCCATGAGCATGATCTGGGTCTCTGTTTTTCAAACTATGCCCCAAAAGTTTAATCCATTAAACAAATGTGCATTTGGAAGGGCTCTCTGTTCTTGTCTGTGTAGGTCTCCTGATACCTTTTGCACCTCATGCCAGAAAGTTTGCACTACCTCAGATGGTGTGAAAAGTGTCCCGGTAGCCAGGCCAGTGCTCAGCTACAGCCCTGCCCTGCTTCCTGCTGAGGGAGCAGGTGACAACGACACGGAATGGGGGTGGGGTGTGTTAAGGTCACACAGAAGAAACCTGACGGGGCAATTCAGGTCACTGCCCTAGAACAGCACTGTCCCTGTCTTGAGGTGGCTTGCCAGAGGCACAGGGCAATGCAGGCAAGGATGGGAGGACCCCAGAGGCCATCCAGGAAGTTCCCTGCCTCAACTCAACCCAAAGGGACACGGAAGGCAAAGCTGCCAGCCCTGTGGGTGCTGCTTGCTGGGCCAAGGCCCTTGACCATGAACTAGCCCGGAGAGGTCGACGGTGGGACTTGGGAAACAAGTCTGAATTCAAGAACATTTGTGAAGAAACAGGGTTCTTCCTGTACAGTGGCAGAGGCTTGCTGGCTTATCAAGTGTCCCAGAGGGACCTGCACACTCTGTTTTAGGCTGGAATGAGCACGCTATGGTCCTATAAACAGATGCTCCGAAAACACCATAAACACAACTCTGCCTCTGCTCAAATTGCTCTGTTATCTTCTTCCATTCAAAAACACAAACATGTCCCTGGACTCCACCCCTCCCCTTCAGCCAACCAGAGCCCTTTCCCTGCTGCCCCCCGCGGCCCTGCGCGGACTTCCAGAAGGGCTCACCACGCACCCATCCTCTCCTCCACTGACACCCAGGTCCCCATGACCTCCTTGTGGCCAAAGCCAGGACACTTCTCTGTGTTGGTCCTTTGGCTCTCTAGAACCTGTGCCTCCCAGTGTTCTGGTGGTAGCAGAGGGCTGCTAGGGTGGGAGGGGACAGCATTCCAGAAGTAAGGGACTTGCAGAACCTTCCGTCAGAGGGCCACTGTGATGGTTCTCATGGACTCTTCTGGACTCTTCTTGACACCTCACCCTCTTGGTTTGCCTCCTACCGCCCTGGCCATTCCTCCTTCGCCCCCTCTACTGACCCCGCCTCTCTCCCCATCTAGACCCTCTTTCTGAGTGACTCCATCCATCTCCAGGCTCCAGCACCAGGTGCACATGGACACTTAACCCGAATGAACCCCCTATCTCCCTGTGACCCCTTCCAAAGCTTCAAACCCTTCTGTCCATCAACCTTGGACAGCTCCCCAAGGGTGCTTAACAGGAGACCCAAATATAATGTCCCGAAACTGAGTCCTGGTTCTCATCCCCATACTGTTTCTCTTCCAGCATTTGCTCTTCCTGAAAATGTTGCCACCAGGTGGGTAAATAGAGAACTTGTTAGTGTCTTTCTCCATCTCCAATAGCATGTCCTGTTGGCTCTAATTCAAAAATACAACTAGGACTCAAACACCCCTCTCCCTCCTCTTTCTCAGGGCTGTATTCATAGCCCCCAACCTCACCCTGCTGATACAAACGGGTCCCAAGCAATCCCAATTGGGCTTCAAGCTTCCACTTTTGTCCCCTTTCAAATTTATCCTGAGAACGGTCAGAATTACCTTATAAAATGTGTTATAATACTCTGTAGGACAAGTGCCCCATGAAGTTCTTGCTTCTTCAAAATTTATATATATATATGTTTTTTCCTTTCCTAGGGACCCAACCCAGGGCCTTGCAATATGCTAGGCAAGCACTCTACTGCTCAGTCACACTCCCAGCCCTGGTTATTCTTATTTATTCCTTTTTCAGATGAAATGTAGAAGCAAATATGTTCTTTATAGAAAATTCATTGAAATAATACCCTAGGAAGCCTCCTCTCTGTGGCCAGTGTGAAGTCTGAGTTAAAGTAATTCTTTAGGTAAACCTAATAAACGAAAACCTGGCTTTCGATGTAGAGGCATGGGGAATGACGTCTGTCTCTCCTTACCAAAGCATTTATAAGCTATGCAACCCTGCAGCTTTCTAGCGCTTCTTGCCAGAGCTGCCATTTCTGCGAGCCGGGGGCGTGGCCCGGGTGCTGCCGGCCAGGGGTGGGGCTTGGGGGCGTGGCCTGTCGGGGCGTGGCCTGGCGGAGGCGGGGCCTACGGCTCTTACCTCCCTGAGGCACGTGTAGATGGGGCACACCAGCACGCGGAAGGGCTCGCCAGTGCTGCTGCGCATGGTGCCGAACACCTCGCACAGGAAGGTGATGAAGCCGAGCCAGCGCTCCACGTCCTGTTGCTGCAGCTCCTCGCGCACTGTGAAGTCCTTCTGTGGGGGCACAAAAGACTGTGTCAGCGAAGGGCCTGGGCACAACCCGCTGTGCCACAGAACCTGCTATCCAAGAGCCAGTCCTGGGCAGCAGGCAAACCCCATGTCTTAAATGAGGATGGGGTGGGTGACCTGTGGACTCTCTGGGGCAGCGGGACCACCTTGACTGGTAGCTTCTACACCTCTTCTCCAGGTGTCGCTGTGTTGGGGCACAGATTCATCTTTTCCCAATATTGCCCAGGCATGCTGCAGGTCACCACCCTCCTTCCCAGAGGCCCTTAAGTCTTGCCTTCGTGACCCCAAGACTGAGGAGGGGGGATGGGATCGGGATGACATCCTTCTTGGACTGCTCCCCTCCCTCTTTCAACTCCCTGTGGCTACACTGTCTCCCACCAGGGAGGGTAAAGATAACACACCCCTGCCAACAGGGCCAGCAACTGGTCACCCAGGCCCATTTTTAGCCCTGGCCGCTGGCTAGAAACACAAGTACAGCCCCTCCTGCAAAGGGTCTAGAAGACAGTAGGAAAACTGAAGCATGCATTCATTCACTCACTCATTCTCCCTCCTTAGAGTATTACTGTGCTACCTGCCAGGGGCTGGCCTAGGGGCTAGGCTAAGGCAGGTTCCCTGTTAACTATGATACAAGAGAGATGGTATTAAAAGCCATCAAGGGTTCCAGTAAAGGGACTTTGGAGTTCAGAGGCAGGAGTTACTACTCTCAACTGGAAAGCAGAGCCTTCAAAGAGGCTAGGATTCTGACAGGAACAAGTATCTAGAGTAGTCCAACTCAGAACAGAAAGAATGCCTAGGGTTGGAGGCAGGGGGAGTCATTTAATGGGTACAGAGTTTCAGTTTTGCAAGATGAAAAAATCTTGGAGTTTGGTTGCATAACAGTGTGAGTGTAAGCTAACCCTACCCAGCTACACACTGAGGATTGGAACGATAAAGTTGGTTGAAACTTTTATCTTACTTGAATGCATGTTCCAGCCAACAAAATTTATGACTCAAGTCTGAGGAAATCATAGTACAGAGGAATGGGAAGAGAAAATCGAAACAAATCAGGTAGATGCATGAAGTTCAGTAAAAATTAGTAATTATAGCTGGGTGCAGAGGTACATGCCTGTAATCCCAGTGGCCAGAGAGGCTGAGGCAAGAGGATTGCAAGACAGAATCAGCCTCAGCAACTTAGTGAGGCTAATAAGCAACTCAGTGAGATGCTCATATAAAATGTGAAAAAGAGCTGGGGATGTGGCTCAGTAGTTAAGTTCCCCTGGGTTCAATCCCTGGTACAAAAAAAAAAAAAAAAGTAACTATTTTGGTTATAGAGTGAATAAAAAACTAGACATAATCTTTGTAAGAGAAGATTTTTTATTTTAACAAACTTTTTTTTTTTTTTAAACTTCATTATTAGTTTTGGACCCAGATTGTTTGGAGGTTTTAGCAGGAAAGCACAGCTACTGGGATGCCCTTGGTCAAAGAAAAGTCCTCCTCTATTGCGGAAGGTCGTCTTCTTCTACCGAGCACACAGCTTCAGGAGGGACACACATGGAAAGTTGAGGGAGCAAGACATCTACCTAGCGATGGGGTACCAACCCTGGAGATCAATGGGGTGACAGGTATAAAAGCCAGATCGTCCTCACATCCTCATTATTATTTTTTAAAAATATTTATTGTTTTCTTTTTTATTTTTCAGTGGACACAGCATCTTTATTTTATTTGTATGTGGTGCTAAGGATCGAACCCAGGGCCGCACGCATGCCAGGTGAGCGCAGCTACCGCTTGAGCCACATCCCCAGCCCACAGCCTCATTATTAATTTTGTAAACAGGGCCTTACTCTGCTTCCCAGGTGGGTCTCAAGCTCCTGGGCTCAAGTGATTATGCCTGGCTGATATTTAATTTTAAAAATAAATAATATTTTCATAGTAGTAGTGATTTAATAATCCAACATTACTGACAACTGGTAAATATCTGTGAGAAGGGGATGAAAAATAAATGAAGCCTAAGTGTGATAATCATAGAAATATAAGTTAAAGTACATTTTTAAAACATGTTCAAACACTAGTAGATTGTTAGTAGAACTGAAAACAGAAAATGAAAGAGAGAAGAGAGAAAAGAAAAATAAATAAAGGAAAAAATTGTACTGGGAAATGAAATCACTAACATTCTATTATTGGTGAAATGGGCAAGATGATTTAAATAGTAGAATTATTTAAATAATAGAATTAATAAGTCTAAATTAAAGCAACCTTATAGTGAACTGTGATTCCACTATAATTTTCAAAACATAGAAACTGTATGGGTTAGACACTGGGACCAAGAATTAGCAACAACTTAAAAAAAAACAAAACACCAATTACTTATGTATTTAAAAGGTATCCTCTTAAATAAAGATGGAATAAGAAATAATCAAATATTCAATAGATTATTTAGGACACAAAGAGCCATAAAAACTGGTAGGATGTGGCCAAAGTTATGATAAGAGGTCAATTTATAGTTTTAACTATTTTTGGCTATTAAATAAAGGAAGAAAATGTATCACTTAGACCTCTGTTTTCCAATATGATAAAATCTAGATATGTGTGATTATTGGGTGCTTATAATGTGGGTAACCAAACTGACATGTTCTGTAAATGTAAGATAGGCAGGGTTTTTCAGAGATTTATATAAAAACAAGAACACAAAATGTCTCATATCTTAAAAAGGCTTAGAACTCATTGAGATTTGGGGTGTACTGGGTTAAATAAAATATATTATTAAATTTCAAATCACACATGTTGATCCCACTATTTGTCTGTCTGACAGTGTTACTCCAAACATGCAACTCAAAAAGTTAAAAAACTGCTGAGCCAGTGGCGCACACCTAGAATGTCAGTGTCTTGGGAGGTTGAGGAGGGAGGATCCTAAGTTGGAGGCCAGCCTGGGCAATTTGGTGAGACCCTGTCTCAAAACTAAAAAAAAAAAAAAAAAAAAAAAATTCAAAAGGGCTGGAGACGTAGCTCAGTGGTGGAGTATCCCTGGGCTTAACCCCAGTACCAGGGAAAAAAATATTCAACAAACAAAACAAAACAAAAACCCAGCCAAACAAATAAAACAACAGCTAGGGAAATACAGAAAAGGACATAACCCAGATAAAGCTGGAAATTAATTAATTAGAGAAAGGAAGCTATATATAAAATTAAGAAGCAATAGAAGTAAAATAAGATGTGAAAATGCATATGATTCTGTTGATTTTGAAAAAAAATAATTGAATGGGTGATTTTTCAGAAAAATAAAGATCATCAAATTTTACTTTAAAAAGGAAAAATCCAGAATAGATGAAAAAAAAATCATAAAATGAAAAGTTATGAAAGAATTACCTTTTTAAAGTCTTTAAATATATGACTTTTATAGGTAAATTCATTCAAACTTTCAAAGAGTTAGATAACTGCTCTCCTTTGGAAACAGACTCAGAATCAGGAAAAGATACACTTTCCAACCAGGTCCCTCTGACCCAAACTCCTGACAGTAGATTGTGAACAAGGATGCCTATAGGCTAATCCCTCTAATGTGAATAGACGTCAAGGTCTCAAGTAAAATACTAGGAAATGAATCCAATATAACCAAGTAGATTTTTATCCTAGGAAGACAAGAATGATTTAGTATCAGGAAATCTATAAAGTAATACATCACATCAATAGATCTGATTAAGAAACAGCAACAATGACTAATGACTCTCAATGATCCTTAGAACAGAGGAAATAAAATTATTAGATTAGCCAGGCCCAGTGGCTCAGGAGGCTGAGGCAGGAGGATGGAGAGTTCAAAGCCAGCCTCAGCAACTTAGTAAGGCCCTAAGAAACTCCGTGAGACCCTGTCTTTAAATAAAATGTAAAAAGGGCTGAGGATGTGGCTTAGTGGTTAAGTGTCCCTGGGTTCAATCCCTGGTACCATGAAAAAGAAAGAAAAAAAATTAGATTATATGTATGAAAAATCCAGGAAAACCCTCTAATAAAGATGAAAATTAATCAGAAGTTAGTAATTAAAAGAATATTTACATAAAAATTAATATACAAAATCAACAGCTTTCTTCATAGCCACATTGACCAGTGCCTCATTTTAATGTACAAAAGCTTATCTGTAACAGCAACAAGATAGTGAAATTCCTCCATGAAGAAAACTGCAAAGACTAAGCTGAAGCTTTTGAGCGATGGTTTGAACAAGTAAAGAAACACATAATATTCCCAGTGATAAGCTTTGTAAAGATGGTGGTTCTCCAAGCACTTCACAGAAGAAGAAATACAAATGGCCAACAAATATATGAAAAAGTGTTCAACGTCTCTAGCAATTAGAGAAATACAAATAAAACTACACTGAGATTCCATCTCACTCCAGTCAGAATGGCAATTATCAAGAATACAAATAACATTAAATGTTGGCAAGGATGTGGGGAAAGAGGTTCATTTATACATTGCTGGCAGGACTACAAACTGGTGCAATCACCCTGGAAAGCAGTATGGAGATTCCTTAGAAAACTTGGAATGGAACCAACATTTAACTTAGTTATCCCACTCCTCAGTCTATACCCAGAGGACTTAAAATCAGCATACTACAGAGACACAGCCATTTCAATGTTTATAGCAGCTCAATTTGCAAGAGCCAAGCTATCGAACAAACCCAGGTGCTCTACAACAAATGAATGGATAAACAAAATGTGGTAATATATACACAATGGAATATTACTCAGCCATAAAGAAGAATGAAATTATGGCATTTGCTGGTAAATGGATGGAAATGGAGAATGTCATGCTAAGCGAAACAAGCCAATTCCAAAGAACCAAAGGCTAAATGTTTTCTCTGATATGCGGATGCTAACCCACAACAAGGGAGGAGAAGATCAGAAGTTCATTAGAGAAAACAAAGAGTTTATTATGGTTTGACCTGATAGTTGCACCTTTGGGTGATTATCATAAAGAAACAATTAAAAGTCACAGAAAAAAATAAGCTTAATGCACATTAAAAA